CCCCTTCCCTTCCCTTCCCCTGCCAAAAAAAAAAAAAATGAGAAAAGGCAAAAAAAACCCAAAAACCAACAACAAAAAAAAAAACCCAACCAGAAAAGATGGAGATTTTGTTGTTGCTGTTGGTTTTTTCTCCGGGGGAAACGGGGGTTTGTTCAGATCTGGCCCCCCGATCCTTTTGCTGTTTTCTCATGCTTGAGATGTCCCTTCGAATCTTCCGACAAGTTCCTTCTGCTCCTTCCTGATGCCGCTTGGCAGCCGGGCTGCCTTTTGCAAAGTCCCCCCCGTGGCTCTGCGGCCGCAGAGCTGACCCCCGTCTGCGGTGGGCGCAGTCGTTAAGCGTACGCGGAGCTTAATTGGGTGCCTAAACCTCCCCAGCCGCTCCGGAAAAAAAAAAAAAAAAAGCCAATTTCTAGCGCTGCGGGCGCGCTCGGGTTGTCATCTCGGCTCTCGGTGCGCGCCTGAGCTCCGCTCAGCCCTGTCCCCTCTGGGTCAGCGGTGATGGAGCTTATGGGCACCATCTGCCCCGCAGCAGGAGGACGGCTGGGAGCCCCGGGGACCAACCCGTGAGGACCTTAAAATGGGCAGAGAGCCCAAAGCCCGTGCAGATAGCGCTGTGAACCTTGCACGTGCCTCCCGAACCACCTTCCCACCCCGGAGCATCTTTCCCCCCTCCTCCTTCCCTGACCTTCTCCTGGCCCGTTTCAGAACGAAACGGATGACAACCAGATCCAGCTGGTGGGAGGCGACGTGGAGCTGCCCAAAGAGCTGGCCAAGATGATCGAGCAGGACAACGAGGAGGAGGAAGAGAAGAACTCGGTGATCAGCCAGCTCAGCAACATCCAGAACCTGGACCTTGATTCCTTGAAAGACAAAGCTTCGGCCACGCTAGAGGACCTGAAGCAATCGGCTGAGAAATGCGTCGTGATGTGACCCGGCGGAACAATCCCCCCCGGGCTCCCCGTCGACGTGACGGTGGGGGAGAGGGGAGGGGAACGCAGCGAAGGGTCTGGCGGTGGCTGTCGCCTGCGGCGGGGACCCCACTGATGTTTGTCACCCTTGCCTTTGTGTGAGCCGGGTCCTCCTCCTCCTGAGCCGTCTGAAGCCCTCCAGTCCCCGACCCAGATGTTCCCTGATGTGTGGGGGTTTGGTTTTCTTCTCCCCTCCGAGGTTAGAGCAAAAAGCCAGCATGTCCCCATGTCCCCCCATCATCCCCCCCCCGCCATACCCCATCCTGTGCCCCTGGCGGTGGGTGTCTTTAGTGAGAATTAGAGGGGGGGAAGCCCTGCGTGACCTTGGCGTGTCATTGAACCCCATCGGCACGGGAAAGGCAAAGGCTCTCCGGCGCAGCGGTGACCCTGCGCCGCGGCCCTGCCTTATAAATTCCCACCAGAAAGCACAGGGAGGCTCCGATTTGCTTTGCAAGGACGAGGCGCAATGAGAAATGCCC